CTATCATCGCGTGGATGGCTACCTGGAAGCAAACAAGTGGACTCAACGTGACAGACGATAAAGCAGATTGGGCAGATGAAGTCCAGCGAGTGACAGAGAATTCAACATGGAAGGTGAATGAAATATCTACGGAAGGAGAGGAAATGAAGATAACTATCTTGATCCGGAAAGAAAGAAAAGAAAAAAGGGCACAGTGTAATTGGATTTACCCCGAGGACGGGGTCCCGGGCTGGTACTGTTCATGGGCATGTGTCCTATCGGCAGAGCGAGGGACCGAGGGATACTGGAAACCCGAGGTAATATACGCAGCGAGCCACCGCAATGATACGTGCTTAACTATTTTGCCAGGAGGAGGGGAGTTCTGGGGACACTACAATCTCACCTGCGACGCCACACCACCACGACGTATACCCAGGCGGCCTAGAGTAAGGCTACCGGGTAACTCCACGACCAGCCGGCCGCACAACATCACAAGCCAGGCCGAGAATACAACGCAGCAGGAAGAGGAGGAAGAAGTAAGACCTACGGCTCAAGAGGACGAGGAATGGAGTCCGCAACCGAACTTCAAGCCCCGACCCTCCAGTTATTGTAGAAATATGAGCAGGAGGTGGGCGAGGGAGTGTACGAAGAACAAACTCCTCAAACTTGATAAGTGTTTCTGGAACATGTTCTTTCTCTGTGAGACCCAGAATTACTTTCTAATAACTCTGCGACTAAACCACAGTATCAGGCTCAGAAGTACATCTATCTACCCCAACCCAATGCCCAGCACGAGGAATGGCTCAACAACACCCTGCCCTGGATATGGGTAACCTCACTGGTGCATTTCAGGGGGTCCTTCCGCCAGGGATACTCCAGAGCCAGCTACGGCCTCATAGGACCTGGAAGGACAGACATGTATGTACAAAAACTGCCGAAACCAGAGGATTTGATGACAGTCCCACTAGGGGATTTCCAAAAAATTGACACGTGTGACCAACAAAATGTTTGATGCTCTAAATCAGTGGTCCCCAAACTAAGGCCCGCGGGCCGGATACGGCCCGCCTCCACATTTGGCCCGGCCCCCTGAACAATACCAGAGACGCATTATGATTTTTTTCAGTCTGGCCACACAAATCCTAGACTAGCCCCTGTCAAATAGAACGGAATAATGGCGAAAAGGTTAGGTAAGAGAAAAATTGATTCAGAATGCAGGGTATTTAACCTGCAGTGGTCAAACGATTATTTTTTTGTTCAATGCAAAGAAAAGGCTGTTTGTCTCATCTGTCAAGAGGCGGTGGCGGTATTCAAAGAATACAATCTGCGCCGACACTATGAATCCCGTCACAAAGACAAGTATGATAACTTGCAAGGCCAAATGCGAGCAGACAAACTCTCAAAGCTAAAAAGTGGACTCATTTTTATTCGTGGAGTTAGCGCAAACTTTGAGATGTGCGAGGAGCTGGCAGCCCTCCAAAGTCTCAAAGGGACTACAACGGGGGAGGATATTTTCGGCAAAGTATGCCAAACCATGGAAGAGTTGGACTTAGACTGGTCAAAGCTTGCCAGCATCACGACTGACGGGGCTCCTAGTATGGTGGGTGCGTCTCGTGGTCTAATAGGACGCATAAACCAGGAGATGGAAGAACGGGGTCTCACCGCCCCGATACAAGTCCACTGCCTAATTCACCAGCAAGCACTGTGCTGCAAAGTGTTGAAGTGGGATTCTGTCATGAAGGTTGTGGTGTCATGCATAAACTTCATCAGAGCAAAGGGACTTAAACACAGGCAGTTCCAACAATTCCTGTCTGAACTGGAGTCTGCACACGGCGATGTGCTGTACTACACAGAGGTCCGATGGTTGAGCCGGGGCAGAGTTTTGAGGCGTTTTTACGAGCTGCTACCCGAAATTAACGCATTTCTTCATTCAAAAGATAAAACGGTCCCAGAGCTGATCGACCCAGAATGGAAATGGCACCTCGCATTTTTAACAGACGTGACAGAAATGCTGAACAGCCTTAACTTGCAGCTACAAGGCCAGGGGAAACTCATTTGCGACATGTATTCTCACATAAAAGCATTTGAGGTGAAACTTGCGCTGCTTTTGGAACAAGTGAAAAATCACAACTTCATCCATCTCCCTGCTACCCAAAACCTCTCTGCAGAGAACCCAGCGGTCCCGTTCCCAGCTGAAAAGTGTGTGGAAGCACTGGAAATGTTGAAGGCGGAGTTCGGTGTGCGATTCCAGCAACTACATGTTAATGCAAAAGAAATCCGTCTTTTCCAGAACCCCTTTCTTGCCGACATCGATGAAGCCCAGCCTTCTTATCAGTTTGAGTTGGCCGAGTTACAGAACTGTGATGTTCTGAAAGACGCATTCAAGCCCAACAGTCTCATTGACTTCTATGCCGCCCTCCCAAACGATACGTACCCTAACATAAAAAAAACACGTAATGAAGATGTTTACACTTTTTGGCAGCACGTATATCTGCGAGCAAACCTTTTCACACATGAAACACCTGAAAACTCCGATGAGATCAAGATTGACAGATGAACATCTGCATCAGTGTTTGAGACTGGCTGTGACTAGAATGGAACCTGACATTCAACTTCTCACCAGCCAGATGCAGGCCCACAGTTCACACTGATGAACATACATAGGTAAGCTCACTTTTCTAACTTGAATGAGTCATTCTGAGTATAAACAAATTTAATCATAATAACATCTACTGGGATAAAATCCATCTCCACAACCATACTGGTAGTGAAATGTATTGTGCTGTGTAGGTGCTGTACCACTTAGTTCGGTTTCTCAGCCTGCTTGCTTTGTGGTTTTCACAGGGAAGTTGATGAGAGAGAGCTACAAACAGCGGTGTCTACAAGCCTACTGGAACCTACAAAAGGATTATAAGGAAGGAACACAAGAACTTTGAGAGACTGCTCATATGAGTCATTTGAGTAAGAGATTCTGCTCTGACAACTAAGCTAAACTTTTACCTGTTAAGATTGTGCACGGCACAACAGAAAGTTAATGTTCAATGGACTTTTTTTCTGTGAAGAACCCAGAGAGGGTTATTTGGTTATTATTTATTTCATAAATAGTGTTATTATATATTTCCCGACTTTATTTTTTCTGTGAAGAACCCAGAGAGGGTTATTTGGTTATTATTTATTTCACAAATAGTGTTATTTATTTCCTGACTTTTTTCTGTGAAGATCCCGGAAAGGGTTATTAATATTTGGTTATGTGTGGCTTTCTGGAAAACAATAAATGTTTACATTTAGGCACCCCTGCGATCGTCACACTTTTTCTGTTACAAACTGACCCCGGCCCCCATCAGAGAAAGGAAAAGTTATGTGGCCCTCACAGGAAAAAGTTTGGGGACCCCTGCTCTAAATGGTTCAGAGTATCTAGCCGAGGGAGCCTCACCACGATGCACACTTTGGCAAGAGTGGCACCGGGTTTGGGGGACATGGCTATATGACTGTACGGGCCTGAAGAAAAATCAAACAATCAAAGGGACCCTACAAGCTTGGAAAGAGGGCCATACCAGAGATGGTAGCTCAACCTGGTGGGGCCTACAGAAGGACGAAGTGTTGGAATGGGTTGTGCCGTGCCTAACTCAGACAGAAAATTACTGGGTGAAGTATCAGTACATTGCCACAGTGTACTTGAAAGACAGAGACATCTGGCCTGGTGTATGGAGCAAACCCAAACCATATGTAGGCCCACGACCCTGGAAGATGGAGTGTAACCAAGGAAACACTACTTGCAACATCAGCCTGGCAGGGAGACATTGTGAAGCCGTGCCAGGATGGGAGGACCATTGCCAGGGACACTATGGGGATGAGTATGAAACCCATGTGCAAGAAGTAACCTGGGTGAAAGGGACAGACAAGAAATGGAGAAGATCAGGACCACTAACAAGCAGCTGTACCAACTTAATCCTGGGCCATCGAATGAAAAACAGAAAGAATGTGAACGGACAGATCATCCCGCAAGTAACGGACCCTACAGTCTTTCTGGCTGAGGGTCACGCCATCAGGAACAGCCTGTGTGATGGAAAGGAAGACAAAGGGTTTGAGTGGATAGGGCCTAATCGCCTATATGGGAACGGAACGTGCTATTCACCAGAAGAACACTGGCTGAGCTGCGGAGCGGCCGACGCGTACATGAGTGTACCTGGATCGAGTTAACAGGAGCCACCATTGTCGGGACAGCCACGGTGGCAGTCGAAGAGATGGCAGGGAAGATTGGAGAAGGACTCTCTGTTGTAAGGAGCTGGATGGGGTCGTTGGTATCCTGGCTTTGGCCATATTTGTTGATGATAGTTGGAATTGTGATTCTGGGCATAATGTCATGTGCCGCCATTAAGGGTGGGGTTGCAGCCACTGTGTCATCGTGCTTCAAGAGGAACTCGAGGAGGAAAAGGGAAGTAGAGGAGAGGCCCCTCCTACGGGAAAGGGAGGGCCATACCCGCCTATAAAGGGTGGACTGCTGGAGCGCCACAGCCATTGCAGACCCGGGTCCTCAACCAAGAGCCTCAACCTAAAAAGAAGAAAGAAAATCAACACATACAGCCAAGATGACAACTGACATCACCACAACCTCGGGCCCCAGCCTGACCACATTCGGAGTGAGTATGACTGAAGCAGTCCGGAACTCCTCAGTCGCAGAACCAGTATCAGTAATTAGATTAACCAAGCTGGACTTTTGGGTCCTTGAAATCATATGGTTCTTCTACTGCTGCATGGGCGA